GACCGGGGCAGGCACCAGAGTATCAACGAGGCAGAGGTGCGCATCAACGACCTGCCGAAGGTCCACGCGCGGCGGGGGACCGCACAAACAACCCCCAAGCGGCGCGCGCAAAAGAGGCGCGCGATCCAGCGGAATTATCCCGACACCAAGCTGAAGGCGCGGCGTCACGAGCGGGGCGTTTGAAGCAGTGGACAGTGGGCAGTTGCAGCATCACTGCCGTTGCTCGCCCTCTGCTTCTCCGATGCCGGGTGCCCTGGCGAGCGCGGATGGCGAGCGGCAGGCCCGGCAGGGAGTCGACGCCCGACGTCTACCTCCACAACGGCGCCGCGGAAACTCATGCGCTTGACGCTGGGGCCCTTCAGGAAGTCAGAGCGCCGCAAGCCTTCCTGACGGGCATGGACATCGGGGACGTGCGCGGCAGGGGCAGGGCGCTGCCACGGCTGTCCGCGCAAGAGCTGCTTGGAGTCTGGGACGCGAACAGACACGAGTACATCGACGCCGACGGGCTGCTCCACGCGAGCGCGCGCCTTGTCACTGCGATCGCCGAGGCGATGGTCATCGCATTGGACGCGGACGGAGTCGACAGGGCCAGCAACGGCGAGATTTTTCCAGAAGGCGGCACGGCCACCAGGAGGTCGGACGCAGCGCAGCCGCCAGCAGGTGGAGCGGCACAGCCCCCAGCAGCAACGGGGCGGCGGAACTGCGCAGCGCGGCCGCAGGAACGGCTCGCGTTTGGCGGCGCAGACAGCCGCGGGCCGCTGGCGGGAGGCCTGCCGCGGCCAGCGCGGGCGCGCGGGAGGGGGGCGCGCCGAGCTCGCTCGGGCGCGCCCGGCGCGCTCGGCGGCGCGGGGCGGGGGGCGCGAGGCGCGCCCCCCACCCCCCCCACACGCGCGCCCCGCGCCCCGCCCCGCCCCGCCCCGCCCCGCCCCCCACCCAAAAAAAACACCCCGAAAGACATCCTCCTCGCAGAGCGCCCATCAGGGAGGCGAGAGCCGCAGTCGACCTGGGCGCGGGCTGCGCCGCCGGGCGGCGGCGCGCGCGCGAAGGCCTTGTCGCGCGGGCTGAAGGCGCGAAGGCGGGCCGGTAAGATCAAGCGGCTCGGGCGATCTGCTGCCTTGGGCAGCGAGGCCCGCGGCTCGCGGGCGACGGGCGCGCAGCCGCAGACGACGCGCGGACACCGGGTCCACGGCGCGCCGCCGTCGGCCCTCCTGGCCCTGCGTCGCCAGGCCGCGGCTGCCGTGGCGGGCGGCCAGGGCGGGCGATTTTTGACGAGTGCGCTGGCGGCCTCGCTTGGGCACAAGGATCCTGCGGTCGAGCTCAGGAGGCAGCAGATCCTGGAGTGGCTCAGCCTCTGGCAGGCGCAGCCAGCAATGCATCGGCGCGTCAACCTGGTCTGGCCCCCGATTCGAGAGCTTGGCGCAGGCTGTGGAGCGGCGCTGGGCAGTGGTCACAGGGCCGATTGCGGCGACCACCGCCGCCCTCATGGGCGTAGGCTGGACCATCAGTCGGCGGTCGTCTGGGCGAGGCCGACCCTGGGCGGCGCGGATGAGTGGCGCAACCCGTCGTCCGAGGAAGCCGCTTTCCAGCACTTCGGGTCGACGACAGAGCTGCTCGATGACCTCTCGGAGGACATCCGCTCGGGGCTCTGGAAGGAGGCCAGCAAGCATGATGCAGGCGAAGGCTTGGATGGCGGCGGCGATTTCTATCACGTCACGAGGGAGCTCAAGCGCAACCAGGCCAGGGGCCAGCTCGACGAGCACGGGCTGACCCCCACGGTCGCTGCAGGAGGGCAGTGGACCCGTAAGCGGCGTCAAGGCAGTGGGCACCTCATGGAGTCAACGCTGTGTCCGAGGTGCCGAAAAATCCTGAGGCCTTGTTCCACAGGCTATGAAGCTGCGAGCGCAACCGAGACCACAACGATTGTCTGAATGCAGACTCGTTAGTTGCTGCGGCCAGGGCTCAGCATGAGAGCCAGCCCTCCATTTGGCTCCGCGTTGTGCCTCTTGTCTGCATGACCACGCCTCAGTTCCATGAGGCCCTGATGGCGGAGCTGCAGCTCAGGCTACCAGGCGCCCTTGAGGACTGCGGGGGAGGGGGGTGGACGGTGGTGCACGGAGACTGGTCGGGAGGCAAGCACTCGTCTGATCCGAGGCGGCCCTGATGCGGCGCGGCCAGTCTATCCCTCGCGCGAGACAGCTAGGGCGAGCATCGCGAGCATGCTGGCGTGGCGGCCCCCCCCCCGGCCCCAGGCAGTCAGTGCCGAAGTCGGAGATCTGTCCTTTCTGATCCAGGCTCGAAAATGCCACGTGACGTTGTGTTGGTCACCGAAGATAAGAATATTGCCAGGTATTGTGATTTTTCCTTCAGAGTTCGAGGGCCAAACGCTGTCATGATGACCGCTGGGAGCGTGCCCGAAAAGCGTGGAGAACCAGGTCTGGCCAGAGTGTAGCGAGATAGGCCCCGTCTCACACGGATGAGCGAAGTGGATTCACCAGTGAGCAGGACATGCTCGCGGCCATTGGTAAGATGGCCGCGGATGTATGGGCGGGGAGGGCGGCGGATCTGGCGTGGGAGACGGGGTGGTGGGGAGCTTGCCTCGAACATATGCCGTGGACGCCGCCGCTTGTTTGATCAGGCGCCGCGCGCGCCGTGCCGTGCAAGATGCAGCTGCCGCCGAAAAATGTGGGAAGGTTGACAGGAAAGAGTCGCCCATCCAAACGGCACCCAGGGGCACGAGGTGAAACTGTGAGGTGTGTTCCCAAGCCGCCACCTAGTCGTGGCTATTGAAGTTGTACTCGAACCCGTGTAATTCTCATCCTCCCCCTGCCCCTGGGGTCCCTAGCGTCCCCAGGGCAAGGCATAGGTTTCAAGATTCAGGAAGTCGCTGGCCATCCGTATCATTCGCTCGGACGTGCGGACCCATTCTTCCTGACGTTTTGTCTCTCCTGCGGTCATCACGCTATTACCGACCCTTGCCATCGCAACTTGGAGTGCTTCCTTCGGGCTCGGAAGACGTGCGGGCAATTCCGCCTGTCTGGGGAAGTGCCTCGGCCTCGACCCTCGACGCGAGGGGGTCCCGAGAGCTCTTAAGATTTCGATCCAGGCCCGCGACGAGCTTGCTGCCCGCGGAAAGCAGCCGGGCGCGAGCGGAGCTGGCCCATCGAGCGACCCTGGCCCCGCCAAGTTTCAATTTTCGGATGAGCACGCGGGCCCTCCCCTTGCCCACTGGTGCTGTCCTCACCTGCCAGTGGCCCTGGTGTTGGGGCCAGAGGCCCTCAACGCTGTTGCCCCGATTGAAACCCGTTCGAGTCTTCTTCCTCCTCCTCCTCCTCCTCCTCCTCCTCCTCCTCCTCCTCCTCCTCCTCCTCCTCCTCCTCCTCCTCCTCCTCCTCCTCCTCCTCCCGCTTACCACCGCACCTCTCCTCGCCAGCGGAGGCACAGCCAGCGCCGCGCTGCTTCGATCGTTCCCTCCTCCCGCTCACCCTCCTCCTCCCGCTCCTGTTTGCGACCGCCGGGGCCACAGTACAGTCGGACCGAGGTCCGAGGTCTAAGATCGAGGTCGGTCCGGGGAGGGTATCCCAGTGTTCTTCGTGCTTGTTGGGTATTCTTGCACGTCCTGGGAAGGGTACCCTTGGATGTTCTGCGTGTTTGGGCCAGCGGAGGGCCCCATGTTTTTGAAATCTGTGATTCTGGCGTGTGTCCGACGGTGGCTTTCACAACGCCCAGCGTCCTCCATTCTGCTCTGATGGGACTTTTGCCACATAGTGGTCCACCTCCTCACCACCACCACCATCATCATCGCCATAATCAGGGTCATCATCATGATCATCATCATGCTGCTGAGGATCGCTCTTGGCGGCAGCTCGGAACATCGAGGGAGCGTTGAGGTTCGCTCGCGCTCCGCGCTCTGTGAGCCCCATTGCGCGCGCCGGTCTGTTGGGCGCGTGCACGATGGCCCGCCATTTTCAGTTTCGGCGGAGCTTCCGCGAGGAGATCCGAAGTCCTCCCCTTCTTCCCCCCTTCCGCCGACGCTTGAGCGACGCCTCTGCTGCAGCCGAAGCTCGTTGTCGTCGATTACTTATGGTATCTTTTGTCACCGCCACCAGCATCATCATCATCATCATCAGCATCATCATCAGCATCATCATCAGCATCATCATCACGTTCGCCATCAGCATCATCATCATCATCATCATCATCATCATCATCATCATCATCATCATCAACACGTCAGCAGTATCGTCTTCGTCGTCATCATCATCAGCATCATCATCATCACCATCATCGTCATCGTCCTCATCATCAGCCGCAACAGCAACACCGTCATCAGATGTAGTGATGTCGTGTTCATGTCCCCCTTCAACTGCGATAGCATCAGTGTTGTTCGCGTTGGCATCGTACTTTCCATGATATGTGCACTCTGAATCGTTACCATCTTCATCGTCGTCTTCATCAGCGCCGGCGGTATGGTGATCGTGTCGTAGCCTTTGCAGCTGGCATCGGCGACCAGCTGGGAGAGGACGCCTCACCTTGTCCCTCGTCTCTAGGCCGTCCAGATAGGCTCGGAGTCGATCTGGAGGGTCGCGCCGTATCGCGGATGCATCGGCGATGCGGCTCGATGTGGTTTCTTACGTTCTCCACGCCGACGACGCTGATGCATCGCCGACGTCCCCGATGAATCTTCGATGCGGCGCGGTGTTCCGGCCCCATCGCCTCGGACCCTATCTGGGAGGCCTCTACGGTCTACAGTGGAGACCCACGCCCAGAAACACCCCTCTTGCCTCCTGGATGCCCTGGGTGTCTTGGGTCCCCATGGCTTTGCTGTGGGAAGCGTGACGCTCCCACACCAAAAGTCAATGGGCAGCCCAGGAGGAGGAGGAGGAGGAGGAGGAGGAGGAGGAGGAGGAGGAGGGAGGAGGAGGAGGGGGGTTGGGTCGTAGGGTTGGGTTCCTCGTGGGAGGCCTCCCGTGGCCGGGCTCCCCCGCTGCATCCGCCACAAGGTGCCCGTGACGGCCGACCCCAACTTCTGGGACTGGGCCAGCAGCTGGCCCCGCCCGCGCTCCTCCCAGGACCAGGCGCTCCCTCCCTCCCTCCCTCCCTCCCTCCCTCCCTCCCTCCCTCCTCCCTCCCTCCCTCCTCTCCCCCTCCTCCTCCCTCCTCCCTCCTCCCTCCTTCCTCTGGGAGGGGCGCCGCTCTCGGCGCCGTCGTCCGCGCCGCGGCGGCGGCGGCGGCGGCGGCGCCGCCGCCACTCGTCGGAGTCGGAGTCGGAGGAGGAGGAGGAGGAGGAGAAGGAGGAGGAGGAGGAGGAGGACCCAGACTTCCTCGCGTCGCCAAAAGGAGCAGGACGGGCGGTGGATGGCAAGCTTCGGCGCCTGCGGGCCCCCGCCTGGCCCCCGGACCGTCAAAAAAACATTGCTCGGGGTGAAAGCCCGGCCCTTGGGGGTGCAAGCCATGCACGAAAGCCATGCAGGTCGGAGATTGGAGACGATTTGGAGCGGGGCATCTCGCCTCCGAGAGGGGGAGAGGGGAGCAGGGGGGGAGGGGAGGAGAGGGGAGGGGAGAGGAGGGAGGAGGAGGAGGGGAGGGAGGAGGAGGGAGGAGGAGGGAAGGAGGAGGAGGAGGCGGAGGAGAGGAGGAGGAGGAGGAGGAGGAGGAGGAGGAGGAGGAGGAGGCGCAGGAGGGGAGGGGAAGAGGGGAGGAGGGGAGGGGGGAGGGGGGAGCAGGTGCTAGGCGTGCTGCTTGCACCGATGGGACAGGCGGGGCGTCGAGCCTTCACGGATGGCGAAACTCGGGGGCGGGGGGGGGGGGCTGCATCTTCGTTGGGGAAGCGCGTTGGCAAAAGTTTGTAGGGAGGGAAGCACAAGAGAAGGAAGGCTGCATCCTGTCGTGGCAGAAATAGAAAGTGCGGGAATGCGGCGTAAAGGCGGGAGCATGCTATCAAGCCAGTGCATTCGTGGGCTGGCAGGGAGGACAGAGGAGCAGATTACGGTTTTATGGTGGACGAGCAGGCTGAGAAAAAGGGGGTGGGGAGGAGGGGGAGAGGGGGGCAAGCTAGGTGCGCTCGCGCCAAATCTGACATACTATTCCTCCCACCCATCCCTTCCAGTTGCGCTGATTGTCTCTCTCTCTCTCACTCTCTCTTTGCGCCGCCAGGTATCATAGCAGACCTGGCATACCCAAGAGGACCCCACGCACAATATGGGAAGGGATGCTGTGTACACATTGGGGGCGGATGTGGCGGATGAGAAGGATGCTAAGCAGGAGGAAGCGGACGATGAGGAAGGAGAAGGACAAGAGGCAACACCAGAAGCAGTGGCAGAAGAAGCGGGAGGAGCAGAAGGACCAGGAGAAGGAGATGAAGAGGGAGAAGGGAGGGGGCGACAGCGACGAGGACACACCCGGATCCAGAAGTGTGGTCCACCCTGGGGCTGAATAGCGGGAGCACAGCACCGATCCTGAAAAGAGCCCACCGTTGCAGCGGGAGCACGGCCAGGAAAAACAAGGAGTGATTGCCACATTCCTACGTAAAAAGCAGCACACGAAGATGGCGGGACCGCTCCAAGACGCAGTCAGGGGTGAAAGGAGAGGAGTACCCACATTGCGAAACTGTGGAGGGGGGGCGGTGGGAGAGGAGCAGGAGAAGGAGGAGGACGAGGAGGAGGAGGAGGAGGAGCAGGCCTCCTCCACGACCAGATGAGCGCATACTTCACGCCCTTGCGGGCCCTTTTTTCTAATCCTCTTGCTTCGTTGCCTTATGTTTTCCAGCTGTGCTCACCGAGGTCCGAATTGTCGGCCACGTCTGCTGTGCCGCCTCTTCAACATCCTGACGCTGCGATCCCAGTCGATCTACACCCATCCGATCTCTCAAGAAAAAACATACACTTTCATGGGCTCCAGATTTCGCTCAATGGAATCGGGATTCTGGACTGGACCCTGGGCGTATTCTTGGAGTTCTCTTGTTCATGGAATTCTCATAAATCTGGACTGGGACTGCTGCCGAAGAACACGCTCGGAGTGGAGCCCGCCCGCCTTTTTCAACCTGAGACTCTGTGTTACTCCAAGTAGGGGTGCAGCGTCGAAACGTTGGCCTTGCAAGGGCCCGCCCTGTCCCCAGACATCTGGTTGCTCCCATTCGTTCGATGCATGGGCCCGGAGGTCTGGACCATTTCCATGGGGGCTTGTTTCTCGTCCGCAGCCCTTGTTTGACGGTCCCGAGGCCCGGCGAGGGCCCCCCGAGGCCGCAAAACAGCCGAAGACCGCCCGCTCCTCGGGCAGGTGATAATGGGGAGGCGACCCAAATGGGGGGTGAAGGAAAAGGGCCCTCAAGGGGCCCTGCAGGCTCCGTTTAGGGCCCTTTTCTTCACCCCCCGATCGGGTCACCTCCCATTAGCACCCGCCCGACCGCTCTAACTTTTGTTTGAGTGTGGAGGGGGGAAGGATAAGCGACACCAACACCTCCAGGGGGCCACCTCTAGCGGAGAGGTTCACGATGCCTCCCCGAGCTGGGGACAAGGGAAGTCTCGAGCGAGAGCGGGGACACCGCACCACAAGGGGGACCACTCCCTGGCTCCTCCCGCTGGTGGTCCCTGGTGGTGTTGGTGTCGGGTTCCCACGTTCCCACGCGGGGCGTTCCAAAAAGGGCCTTGCATTGGAGGATCGAAGGAGTTATCATCTCTTCCGCGGCAGAAGACGGCGGAAGGGCGGCCGAAGGTCGGCGGAAGTAAAACGAGGCCGCCTCCGCGGGCGGCAGCCGGCGGAAGGGCGGCGGAAGGTGGCGGAATTGAAAAACAAAAAACCAAGAGATAAAAACGTTTTTGGGACTCAGGGTTTCCGAATTCCGCCATCTGCGACCTCTGGCCCGCAATGGGCCCTGCGGGGGCCGGCTCGCCCCCGACGGCGCCTCGGCGGCGCACCCCCGCAGGCCCAGCCTCCCGGCGGAGGGCCTCCCGACCCGCCGGGCCTGTCCCTGCGCGACGCCGCCCGCCTGCTGGTGCGCCCGCGCCCGAGGAGGAGGAGGAGGAGGAGGAGGAGGAGGAGGAGGAGGAGGAGGCCGGGAGGAGGCCGGGAGGAGGCCGGGAGGAGGCCGGGAGGAGGCCGGGAGGAGGAGGAGGAGGAGGAGGAGGAGGAGAAGAGTTCTCCTCCTCCTCCTCCTCCTCCTCCTCCCGGCCTTCTCCTCCTCCTCCTCCTCCTCCTCCTCATCATCATCATCATCATCATCATCATCATCATGATCACGATCATCATCATCATCATCATCATCATCATCATCATCATCATCATCATCATCAGCATCAGCATCAGCATCAGCATCATCATCAACCGTAGCCATTTTGGCTCAAGGCCATTTCGGGAACTCTACCCCCCGACTCAAGTGGCCTGCGCCCGCCGCGCGCGTGGGTGACCCTGGAGAAGCCCAAAGGACAGGGGTCACCGCATATTTCATCTCACCCACAAGCATTTTGCCTCTGTGTAATGTACTTGCCTTCGAGTGCCATTCTTCTCATCGGTGCGATGGCTCTCGACGCAGCGGCTCTTCGTCTAATTCTGAATGAGACCCTCAGGCCGCTCAATGCCCAGATGGATTCGATGAACTCTACGCTTGCTGGCAACATGAATGCCATAAAAGAAATGGACGGGCGGCTCTCTGCAGGGATCCAGTAGAACACGGCCACCATCAACGCAATGAAGGACGACATTCAGGCCCACAGCGAGCGCATGGACGAGCTAGAACTCAAGCTTCAGAGACAACAGCATGAAGCATATTCGGAGATGGAGCAGGCCGACGGGATGGCAAGCACATATTCTGCATCTGCGAGGTTACAGGGTCTCGAGGCCAGCTTCGCCGAGATGCAACGTAAGATGGACCAGCCGACCTATGACCCATGGACAGACCTGCGTGGAACGGCTTCGGGGCGATCGACTGCTCCACCATCATCAGCTCCATCGTCAGTGAGACCTACGGTGTCTGCTGACAGAACAAAGATATGGATTCGAGGATTTCCGAAGAAGCAGCTGAATAATGTTTTCGAACGTCATTTTGCGATCTTCAAAACGAACATGCCTGATGAGTATCGAGATAAATGCGTACCCCACTGCCACAGCCTTCGCTTTGCGTATGCTATCAAGTTCGAGTCGCAGGAGCACGCGAGGTCGTTCTACGAGCGGGCGCGGGACCATCCCATCAAGTTCACTCAAGCCTCAACTGGCACGCAGCACGATCTGCGCATCGGATTCGACGAACCTTATGACATCAAGAAGGCTACATGCTGGGGCTCCTCTGGAAGCAGATCTGCGCATACATGCGCACCAACGGCCGCTGGACGCCCTCGACGGTGCTCGCCTGCAACAAGTACCAGGGGTTATGCTACACCACCGTGCGTGATGAACCGATTGACATGGTGATGCTCTCGTCGTGGACCGAATCCGAGGTTGTTGTCGAGACGTGCGCCCAGGAGCTGCGCGACTTCGGCCTCGCCGAGCAGCAGGTCCAGGATCTGCCCGCTGCGGTCAACAGCTCGTACCACGAGTAGGATATAGGCGCACCATGCTCTACAGAAGCTGACGCCGATGCCGCATCTGTCTTTGCTTATGCTGCTGATTCTCCTCCTCTCGCCACTTCCTTCGCTCGCTGTCTTGGGAAGCGATTTAAGTGCTGCTCTGATCCCCCCCCCCCCCCCCTCTGGCAGCAGCGCAGACATTCTACTGGAATGTCCCTGGCAGATAAAGAAGCACCTGGCGCTAAGCACGTGGAATCCAAAAGCCTTCTTTGGAAGTGTGCATGGGGAGCCCACTCTGCAGAGAAATCGGATCCGCAAGTTCCGCACGCTTATCAACGCACACACTATCATACTCAGGCAAGAAACACATGGAACATATGCTGACATCGAGACTTTGCGCAGAGACTACCCCACGCACACGCACTTCGGCCCGTTCTGCGAGAATCCGAATGCGGGTGGAGCTACCATCAGCGTGGCCAACTCTTTCCTTGCCAACTTCACGAATATGGAGCCCTGCGAGCTCGTTCACGGCCGTCTCCTCTCTCTCTTTCTCTACAAGGACCCCAGGGCGATCTCAAAGTTTATAATATCCACCTCGGCCCCATTCTTAAGGATGCTGGTAAGTTCTCTGTTCTCGAAAAAGTTGCCCAGACCCTTCCCCACAATAACTCGTGTTTGACTTTCCTGGCAGGCGACTTGAACTTCCTTGAGTCAGGAGAGACTCGAACCAGGACTGACGGTGAATACCAGCGTCCTGAGCGCCCCGCTCGCCTTCGACGCTTTTGAGAGCTCTTCCCGGACTCGCTCGAGCTGGCGCAAGACGAGCCCACGCATAGGACTGGGGATCTTGGGGAAGGTGCGCAGTCTCTGGGGCGCATTGACCGCATGTATACGTTTGCTGGCACTGTTACGATTTGGGAGGCGAAGCCTACTGCTGGAATCGTTGGGCACGTCTTGAAAGCTAGCGAGCCGAGTGGTCATGTTCCTGTCTTTGTTCGCTTTACCCCTGGGCTTTGGCCCCATGCTAGTAGTCCGCCGCGGGTGACATTACATCCCGAATTTGCGCAGCTAGTTGATGAAGCACGGGCCCAGATTGACCTCTCCACGGACCCCATCTTCGCCATAGAAGAGATACAAGAGTGCATGCACATTGCGCCCACTGAGATAAAGTCACGCATTTACCGCTATGCTCTACAAACTGATACGCATCGCCCCATGGTTTGTTTGAAATGCACGCGTGCCAACTCGAACGGACAGAGCCACATCGCACGCAGGCGCGCACGCGCGCACGACCAGATCGCGCAGTTCACAGACGAGCAGCACGAGCACATCATTGATCTTGCGAGGCTCCACGAGCACATCCGCATCGTGCAAGAGCGCATTATGGTCCTAGAGCTTAGGGGGCACGATCAGCCCCCAGAGTACCAGCATGATGACGAGCGAACAGTCAGGCTGCACAAGCTCTTGAAGGCATGGTCTCCCAGGCATAGGCGCATGTCACTCGTAGGAATCCCCGCTGATGTGCCAAACGTCCCCCCGCAGATCTCAGAGATGCTGCTTGCCCAGTGCCAGAAAGTCTCTCCAGGTATCAACTGGGTAGTTCCGCTCTCCGACATGCTCGGCTTTCTCCGCCGCGAGAAGGGCGCCGCTGCAGGTCCTGATGGCACCCCGTACTCAGGTTGGGCGGCATGTAGCATTGAGCGTAAGGAGATCCTATACCAAGCGTATTTGCGATTTATGTCTGGACATCCACTCCCTGGAGGTTTCAACCGTGGGGCGACGGTTTTTCTGGCTAAAAACATCGAGGGCGACTCCCTGAGGGAGGTGCGGAAAAAAGCAGCGGTGGCCCGTCCGTTGTTCCTTGGCAATACTAATAATAAAACCTTCGCTTCAATGCTGTGTTTTCCCTTTGGGCAACAGGCTCGGTTTTCCGTGCGCAAAAACCAGACCGGGCTTATCAAAGGAAGGAGCCCGCTGGACAACATTATGCTGATTGAGTCTGACTTTCTGGAGCATGCAGTGTTTCAAGGAGCCGAGCGAGCTGGCCTATTCTTGCTTGATGTTGCTGCAGCCTTCCCGGGTCTCGCTCATGTTTGGATCCTGACCGTGTTACAACATATGCTTATTCCTAACTATGTCGTGGACGCTGTTCAGCAGCTATATCGCGATACATACACAAGTATAAGATTAGGAGGGGGCGCTTTCAGAGGATACTATATTACACGAGGAATTAATCTTGACCGTCTTGAAACTGTCCTCTCCACTGCTCGCGCAAACATCCCACCCTCCCACCCGCAACTTGGTCGCAAGACCTCTTCAGACAAGACCGCGACGGTAGGTACCACATGGCACTTGGCCACGACACCGATGCCGACGACGACAACGACATCGACGACGACGGCGCCGCCGACAGCGACTGCGACGACACCGACGACGTCTCCAATGTTTTCGACGGCGACAACGACGACGACGACGACGACACCGACGACGACGACAACGACGCCGACGACGACGACGAAGACGACGACGACGTCGCCAACGGAGACGACGACGAGGGAGGAGAAAAAACGACGACGGCGACAACGACGACAACGACGATGGAGGAGGGAAGACGGCGACGACGCCAACGACGAAGAAGGAGGAAGGACGGCGACGCCGACGACGACAACGACGAGGGCGGAGGGAAGACGACGACGATGACAACGACGACGAAAACGACGACGACGACGGCGACGAAATGAAAGGACGACGACGAGACGCCGACGACGGACGACGACGACGAGGGAGGAGGATAACGACGAGGGAGGAGTGAAGACCACGACGACGACGACGACGACGGCGACGAAATAGGAGGGACAACGACGAGACGCCGACGAAGACAACGAGGGAGGAAGGACGACCACGGCGACAACGACGACGGAAACGACGACGACGCCAAGACGACGACAACGACGACGAGGAAAGACAGAAGACGACGACGGCGACGACGACGACGACGACGAAGAGGGAGGAGGGAGGACGACGACGACGACGACGACGCAAGAGCGCACGCGCACGCTTTTGTTGAAAATCCGTGTTGCGAAACCGTGGGTTCTTGTAGGTTTTTTGGACGCACGATTTTGAAATCCTTCTGAAACCGATGGTTTTTGAAGGATTTCGGCATACGCCCGCGACGACGCGCGCGTCTGCACTTCGTCCCGTTTTTTGCAGAGGATTCTCGCGACGGCACACGCGCAAGGGCGTTGGACAGATTTCGACATGCGCGCGCGCGAAGCCCGTTTGGTCGCATTTTGTGAAAATCTTGGAAAACCTATGGTTTTCTTAAGATTTCGCAAGACCTCACGCGGAAGTTTTTGTTAGTAAATCAGTGTTGCGAAACCATGTGTTTTTGTATGTTTTTCGGAAACTCGATTGCGAAATCCTTCCGGCACCGAAGGTTTTTGAAGGATTTCGGCATGCGCGCGCGACGACGCGCGCGTGCGCACTTCGTCCC